GAGAAATATTCTTAGGTGTTTCTCTGGGAATGTGCACCAAAAATAGTGTTGAGTTATCAACTAAGATGAGCTGATTCCAAGTTTAAAATAAGTAGAAAAGATCGTCTAATTATTGCAAATCTACATGTTAGTGCAGCCTAATTCCTGTAGAATAATCAGTTTTGTCTCTTGCGTGTAAGCAAGAGCGAAGAGCCCGTATAGAAAGATTGAATCTGAGAGTGTATACGAAATTGACTACATGAAGAATAATTGAGAACTTAAGTTTATCCATAGAATTTGTAATTATACGCGAAATTATAACATTATGAGTCATTTCATTTCAATCGTATTGTCATGAATTGTGACGAGTGAAGAACATCATGATGAGAAAAATGAATATATCTAGAATTCCTAGTCAAAACGAATGACGCATATTTCGCCTACTTCATCTCTGTAAGTTATCGCATAGAAAATCCACATTTGAAGAAAAAAAAAAGGTCTAAATCTATTTGCAGATATGATTCATTAAAGAATAGATTTGACAATTCTGTTTTGAGAAATAGATGAAAAAAAATGAACAGCAAATTAAGATTTTTTTTATAGATAATATACCTCATTTTCAACAATCAATGTCTTACGCACATCACTTAAGAACATAAAGTTGTATTTATCGGATTGAAAACTAACATTTATGGATTTGGATTAGAAAAGTTTTTTCATACATTTCATTGAGACTACTTATTAATTTTCGCCTTGTATACTTGATTTTGTTTACTAATATAATTGGTGATTAAATTGTTCATGAGTTAACTATTTGTAAAACATACTCAAATGTTATGTCTATCACTGAATATTAACAACTAAGTAAAGAAGAGATTGCTGTACGACCGTCTAGGCTTAAAGCAACGAGATGATCTTCTCCTTTCCATTATTCATTCTGGAAAAAAATACAATAAGATTGTTGACACAGTTCCTGTTTTTGTATACAACGACACATAATTGCGAGCCCAAGAGAAGTAGAAAATTTTGGAAAACATTTGTAGTGTTTCGCAATATGTTGATGTGTATCATTCGGAAGATGTTGACTATTTCTTTTCATCAAAGCAAACTCATCATCGAATCGTGCAATTTTTGAGATATACGCAGTTTAATTGACTAACTTGCATAGATTTCGTTGAAATTCCAGGAACACATCTGAAAAAACTTCCCTGATCAGATGATATTTTTAAAATATCAATAGAATGATTCGATTTTTTTGCTACAAATTTTTAGCAAGCAAATCTTGACTGATGCGATCAATACTGATATTACTAGTCGAGGTGGTACTTATATTGGAAAGGGCTTGGAAATGGGTATCAATTTGTTTATTAATCGTCGAACAAAAAACCCGTTGAATGCTTTACTCTTACTTACCGATGGTCAAGACAATGAAAATCATAACTATACGCAACTAATGCAAACTTTACCGAGCAATGTTCAATGTCACACATTCGGTTACGGACCCGATCATACGGCTTCATTACTAGTGCGACTAGCTGAAGAAGGCAATGGAGGCACATTCACTTACATTGTAAGTTGAGTTTTGACTATCTAATTTTCCAATTATCATGATTAATAATGTGTTGATGAATTTTTTTAACAGGATGAACAACAAGCAATAGGTTCTGCATTTGCGATGGCTCTAGGTGGTCTATTCACATGTGTTGCACAACAAGTTCATGTCAATATCGAACTTACTGGAGACTATAAGATCACTCATGTTCATTCGAATTATAAATATGAGCCTGAACAACTACCCTCGCCAAAACTCAATGTCAAGTTACATGATTTAAATGCTGAAGAAAAGCGAAATCTTGTTTTTCAAATACACGTACCTAAAATGGACAACAATGAACAAAATGTAGACATGACTAGTCAACAATCTATGTCATTGACTCAATCTTCAGAAGAAGAAATACAACTATATGAAAACCAAACCATTGGTAAAGATGATTAGGAACTTTTTGATTTTTTGAGTAGAACATTATTATCAATGTTTAATTTTTCTCTTTCTGAATAGGTAGTGTGACTGTTATCTACATGGATCCGAATACTGGTCGCACAATAACAACAAATCCAGTTTCTTTCAATTTAGTACGAGATTCTCATCCTCGAAATGATCTTCTTCATGTCAATCATGCACTTGACATTCAACGAAATCGAGTAGAAACAGCACATGCACTCGAACGAGCAATGGCTGAGGATAACTATCGGCAATCACGTACTATTCTAAAAGCTCAAGTAGATAAGATCAAGGCCAGTGTATCTGCACAAGATCCATTCTGTCAAAAGCTAATTAAAGATCTTGAATATCACTATCCAACAGAACGTGATTATCGATCATCACAACATAATACTTATATGTGTCACAGAACGGAACGTGGTACATACATGCCAATATCCAATACTAGCACACTACAATACGTTAATAGCTACCAAAGGCAAATGGCTTCTGATTTCGAAAATAAAAACAGTTCATAAAATTTACAACTGTAAATGTAATCCTTATATTTTATATTTCTTTTTTTACATCAAACTAGATTAGATTACATCATACACAATATTGTGTAATCTACAATTATCATATTTTCTGCCAAGATCACATAAATGATTATTTCATAACGAGTTGATACTTTTCGATTATTCGATAATCTGTATAAATATCTTCTTAAAACCGTCACATGCTTCTGATTCTTACTTTTCTATTTAATAATTTCTGTTTCAATTCAGTGATCATTTTTCATGAATAGATTTGACACCACTTTTTACTTCTTCTTATCTTGTAGTATTGGTAAAGATCCGAAAAATGTTCACACACCTAAACTTTAATGGTTACAGTTACATGATACTTTCACAAAAAAGAGTCTACCGCTCTTTATAGGCGTTGTGCTGCAATAATCATCTTCTCCCATAAAGTTCTCTTTAGCCATCAATTAGTATACGAAATACTTTTTCTTTTCGAATAATGGAAACGAAAATCGATAAAAATGTTAAGATTTGCTCTCCAGAATCGAATCGTACTATTAAAAACTGAAGTATTCTTTGAGATTATCTGAAATTAAGTGAACGAACACAATATTGACGACAAATCAAAACATATCTTCTACTGTTAATTAAGCACAACTGAAACATATACAGTTATCTTGCGGCCATGATTTGAATTTCGAAATGGAACTCAAAGTGGAGCGATGGATGTTCATGAAATCCTATTTCTATAGTGTTTTTTTAAATGTCCAGGAAAGAAAAACGTGCCGTCACATGCATTTTCATTATTCATCTCATAAGATAATGGTTTACAGACAAATGTCGCCTTGCTCTCACCACGGCTTTGCTCTGAGATCGGATAGTCGATTATGAAGAAAATAAGCTTGTTAGCGCAGCCCCTTTGAGGCTGAAATGTGGAACTCACATATGTTCTTCAGCTTCGTTATATCAATACGAAATACAAAAGGTCTAAAATCAAGAATTTTTATTTTTTCATTTTCTAATGGGCGCTCTATTTTTCGTTTTCATTGTTACTATTCACTCATTATTTTTTTCGTATTTTCTTTTGCATTATATTTTTTTAATTTAATTCTATTATTATTACAATCATTTAATCAACCGTCAAATATGCCTCTTACACATATACATTTAACCTACAGCAAGTATTAATGAACTATTATATATCTCGATCAAGTCACAACACTAGCACTGAGTGAGTTTTTTTTCAAATTAATAACTTGATCAATCGATGATTTCTTATGATCGTTAACATCTTAAATACATTTTTATGTGGACAAAAATCCAAAACTAAACTTACAGGAATACTAGTATACGAATGTTATTAATTTCAACTTTTCCACAATACTCTGGCTTATGCCAGAGCAGTCAAAATTTCTTCTCATTTTTTACACTGATTTTTTCTCTACTATTGCATTAAAAAAATTGATTATACTAATGACAAAATACAGTGTTTAAATTCTTTAAAACACGATGGTTCTTTTCTAATGATAACCGATTGTCAGCAAATGCTGTCATTTTTATTTCTATACTTCGAATAAAATTTTTCCTTTTTTTCTGGAGTTGCTATGGTCTGCAATGGG